GTATTTCATTTTGCATTTGTGATGGTTGATACGAGTGTGCAGTCATTGGATTTTGTTGTTGAATTGGTTGAAAAGATTGTGTATTAATTAGATTTTGTTGTTGAATTGGTTGTTGATGTTGTGCATCTATTGGTTGTGGAGAAAAATTTCTATGATTTGTACGTGTTCTCTGTATTCCTTGTCTACGATATTCTTGAGTATTTGGTGCAAATATATCTGGTTGTAAGAAATCATCATCTGAGGATAAATAATCCATTTGATAAGGTGTCTGTTTTTTATTTTTATTTTGTTGAAAAAATGGGTAATTTTCACTGTGATCCTGTGGAGGATTTGTTTGGAAATTTATTGAATTAGGTTGGGTCATTGGGTTATCCCAATTTCGAGATCTTGTATATTGGTTAAAATTTCTTTGTGGTTGATTATATGTTTTTGATGGATGTGTATAATTATAATTATGGTCTGTAAAGTTGTTTCTAGTGAATGTTTTGCGTGTTTTTGATGGTATTGTCATGGGTCTGTATGTTTGGTAATCCATATGTGAATATTTAGGGGCAACCGAAGGTTTAACGGTTGATTGTAAGGTTACCTGTGTTTGTGAAGGATTTGTATTTCTTGGTGTTGTTAAATTTGGGCGTATTGGTGAAATACTTTGTTGTGTAGTTGTTGTGTGTACAATTTCTTCATTTATGAAGTGTGATGGTGTCTGGATATCTTGTTGAGTAAGATTCCTAGTTCCATTGAGGTTTTCATTGTGTATGACTGTAGAGTTTAAACTATTATTTTGTGTATCGGGCAAAAATGTATTATAGTTTAATGGTGTTGCATCAATGGTGAATGGTATTATTTTTACATAATCTCTTATGTAAGATATCGTACTTATTGCTTGACTTGAGATTGATTGTGGGAAGCTTATAAATGCGGGATGAGACCATTCGGGGTCCCAAACATAATCTGATTGTTCTGTGATAGCGGTATCATCGTTCGAGTTTTGGGGTCTAAAATTTTTTCTTGCTTGTGCAATTAAATCAATATTGTGTGTGAAATAATCTATTATGAACCATGCCAAAATTTTTTGTAGATCGTGTTTTGTATGTTGTGAAACGTCGTTTTTCGTGAAATTTTCTTTAATGATGTTTAAATAACTAGAGAGTAGTGTGATTTCATGTCGTACTCTTAAATGTTTAGATGTTTCTGTCGGTGAGACATTTGTTATTGGGATTTCATTTTCTAATATCGAAATATAACTATATATTATTGCGAAAACTTCATTGGTGAATATGGGGTTTGCTCTTTGTGAGTTATGATATTGGATGCTTTTTATATATTCTGAAAAAACTTTTGAAAATTCTAAATCAAGATCGTCTGTTTGAATTGTATATTTTCTATTATTATGGTTTGGTGAGGTGAATTCTATGGAGTAGATTCCATACTGTTGTGTTATGTTGCATATATCTTTTAAGTAGTGGTCTATGATTTGTCTTTTGATTTTTACATCTGGGAACTCTGTTTTACATGGACTGATTCCGGGTTCAAATAAATTTAATAGTAAATTATTGCAAAATATATGCTGTCCTCTATCAGTGGTTGCATCTATTATAAAAGGAAAGATTTCATCATCATCTGGGCTTTCGTCACCTGGGGTGTGCGTTGAGCTCATTTTTTCGTTCGATGACTGTTAATATGTAATTATTAATGTGTCGAATTGGTTGATTCCAATTGTATAAATGTACTGGTTTGTGTTTATACTGCTTTTTTATTCTTCTTTTTCCTCTTTTTGATGAATTTGAAGTTGTTTCTGAGTCAGAAAAATATATTTGATCGTGAAGTGGGCAATTTTTATCTATTGATTCTTTTAGTTTGTAAAGTTCGTCTAAACTGTTGGTTTCTGATTCTGAAAATGCGTTTCGATTTTTTGAAAATCTTTTTCGTGTTATTTGTCTTTGTTTCGTTATTATTTTTCTTTTTAGTGTTTGTCGTTTTGTTCGAATGTATCCAACTGTTTGTGTATGAGGTGTGATTACAAGGTCGTATTTTTTGTTATCTATTTCACAATTGTGTAAAACGATTGTTTGTTTATTTCCTAGGTTTTTAAATGACATAAGGTTTAGGATGACGGATGCAAAAGGTTGTTAAATGATTTCTATTTTCCTAAACTGTTAGTTCTTACGATTTTTTGGTTAGCTTAACCTGGGTCTATTTGTTCAGGGTTGGAGAGAAAAGTATATCGATTCCGAAGAATGATTTTTTACTTTCTCGTGGCTAGTATAAGTTAAGGTGTTAACTTACTTAATCTTACTTAGGGGTAGTGATTGTGTTCAAGGGTTGGAGAATAGTAAATCGATCCACAAGGTTCAGGTATAATTAGAACGCGAGTAGTTCGTTAGATACTATTTTAAACTTACTAAGTCTAAGATTTATCCTGGGTCTGGTAAGAGGGGGGGTCAAGTGAAGGATGAATAACCGAAGTTCTTCACTGTTTATCCTAATTTGAATGATTAGTTTTGTTTAAAAATTTCTATTAGTCTTAGGTCTTTAGAAAGGGTTGGGTAGTGAATCGACGTTTGAGGTCGTTAGACACTAATTAAGTGGGTGGGGGAGAACAAAGTTGTTCTGTTTGATCCAAGGATAAGCCTTGATGATCAAATTTGAAATTTAATTAAGTAGAAAATGATTTAAGATCCAAGGATAAGCCTTGATGATCTGGTTTTAAAATTAAGTGAATTTAAGTTTTAATAAAATTTTAAATGTGTGTAAAGGAAAGATTTAGTGTTTTGATGATATTAGTGGGTTTATGATTGCTGTTATGTTTTAGGTGATGGAGCTGGAACAACAGGATGATTTATGATTACTAACCATTTATTGTCATGCTACTAATTTTTATTTTTTATTTTTCAATAAATATTTTTCAAACATGTTTTGTATATTACTGCAGAGTTTTAGGAAAACGATCTTAGATCTTTTTATCAATCGTTATTGTATATTAATAATTTTGTTTAGCGCCTGAAATGATTTTGAAGATTAACTTCAAGGTTTTATGTTTGCAAATGAAAATCTAAATTCATTGCTAGTAGTATTCTAAATATAAAAGTTTGTTCTGGTTTTTGCCTAACTATCATATAGCTATATGGCAAGTTTCTACTTTGTCGTATGTCGTCTCTGGTTCGAGGTCTTCTTCCAATTCCGGGTAGTTCTGTTATGGTTCGGAATATTGGCTCTGATCTATTGAGTCGTAGAGACATTTCGATTAAATTATTGTCGTATAACATTTTGTAAATGTTTTTGTCTAATTTCTAATCTATTTTGGTTAATTCTAAGCTATTAAGGTCTTGTTCGAGACTTATGGTCGCACCAGATGAGTTAGGACTGGAGTGTATAACTCATAGAGTAATTTCGGATAGGGTACACCGTCTGCTCGTCACGCTATCTTATTTTCGGCCGGATAGATTCGTGCAACTTCTTAGTCTAATACCGATCCTAATCTTACTCTTATACTATCTAGTCTCAGGTTGTTTAACTAGTCTCTGCTAGGCTCAATAGATCTAGGGTATACTGGTTTATTGCGGCTGCTGAAGTGCTCGGGAGAGTCCAACTAATTTCTAAGTTAAATTCAAATCTCTCTGGTGCTGAAATTACAAGTAACTTCAGCACTTACAAATAAGTGGGTTGTTAGTTAGATGGATCATGATTGGTTAATATTAAATACTTTACATTGGTAAAATATCTAATTTATCCAATCATAAAATGTAGTTTAGATCAGGTTCCAGTAGCTTAGCAATCCATTAAAAACACAATAGTTCAGATCCAATGAATACATATTTATTCGGCTGAAACCTCGAGATTTAAAAGACCTAATTAAACTTTTAGATAAAAATTTAAATGAAATTCTATAACATAAGTACATTGTGTTTTTGTAGAGTAAAGTGCTGATTTAAAAAAAACGCTAGTCAAAACAATTTTTGTAGTATGAAATTATATGACGAGCATTTGTTCAACTACCGTTTTTTTCTTATGGAGGTCAACCCGGGAAATTAATTTGTACAAACTGCCTTTTTCAATACATTAAAGTGCTGCGGTTTAATTTGTCCGGATATATAGTAATTTTTGAGAATTTTTTTTTGTAAAGAATTTTTTTCGAGAAATTTTTTTTGAAATCCGTTATGATGGGTTATAATGAATTATAATTTTCATAATTTTTTCCAAAACTTTTCTGCAAATTTTGGAGCCTTTTCTGCATTTCCCAATTTCTCTCGATTTCTAAACCTACTCTTATGTTTTAAAATTTTAGCAAAACCCTATCGCTCACTTTTAAAACCCAGTTCTTCTCATTGTTAACAGCCAAGTTGTACAAGCCCAAATTTAACCCATCCACCCACATTGATACACACACCTAACCCCTTCCAACCTACCCTCATCACCCCCACTTATCCTAGCCCCCACACACCTACCCGCCCCCGTAAGTTTGGGGGGCGTCACGATCTGCGGGGGGGGGGTCATACGCTTACGACATTTTAAATTTTTTTAAGGTGGAAGTTGGTAGGTGTAAAATGTATGTGGGTGGGGGAGAGGAGGTGGTGGTATGTGAATGAATTAAGAATGATGGGAGCTAGTGCGAATGGAGAGATAGAGACAAAAAGAAAAAAATCGAAATTGATCCAAATTTTTGCTGTAGCCAAAAATAAATAACAATTTAGCGATTGCAACTTTCAAGTTTTGATTATTTAGTTTCAAGGTTTTGGAAAGTTTAGACTCATAAATATCTATTATAGTCCATTATAATTTATTATAATTACGCTTGCGATAAGCAAGCGTTATTCATTATATTTCATTATAATCAATTATAAGGTATTAAAAGGATCTCTACCTTTTTGGTTTTATAATCTAATTTATCCATTTATAATTGATTATTTAAGAAGATTCTGGAGACACACCATGAAAATCCATGATAATCGATTATTATCCACTGAACAACTAGGCTACACTGAAGCTCTAGGTTTGTCTAGGCTACATTAGTGGGATAAAGGCGCTTCCGGTGGGGCTGGCCTGCAACTCACTGGGGGCTGGACGGAAGAGGAGTGAAGACCCTCTCAAATACGGAGTGGGAATTAGATTCCACAAGAAGCTAGCAGACTACGTGACAGAGGGTACTTTTTCAGCCAATCAGAGAAGAGCATTGTACAAGCGCTTTGCATATATAATTCAAATTGAACTCTGGGGTGGAGGATCCTAACTTTGAGGTTTTTTGGGTTTTTTTTTTGGGGGGGGGGGGGGGGCGTTGGTTTTGTTAACTTGATTCAAATGATCCAAATTCAAAAATCGCTGATGAAATTCTGTAAGACTTCTTTAGGACAGTTAACACAGCAACTATTTGAAAAAACAATGCAAAAACCTCAAAACATATTAAGTTTAACAAAGTTTCTACGATTTCTGAACTTCACTCTACTGCTTGATGCTATATTAAAATTATAATAGTTTTCAGGGAGCATTGCTTTTATCCGCTACCCCTCACATCTTAATACATCATTTGACACAAATAAACAGACACAAATAATCAAAGGTGAAATAATTTCTTACTATTGACTTCAGGAAACCGGTATCTTCATAGATAAGGGCATAAAAATCTCGTAAAAACTTTTAATACGATCACCAAAGTAAGTCTGAATAAATAGAACCAACCCAAATGAGTAAGTTCCCCCTTTTTTTCGAAAACCGGACAAAAAACTGATCTTCTTTTCAGGAGAAGTTATTGCAGTTTTGCATGCAGACAAGGAAGCCGAGCATGTTGATGTGATGCACGCAATCCAAGAGATTCGAAGTTCATTCACGGTCTCAGAAGACCCACCGGAATCTCAAACGCTGATCTACAAATTATTGAACTAAGAAATTTTAAATCTGTACTTGAGTGAATGATGCAACCAAATTATAGCTTCATACAAATCACAGACTCAGGTATCAAAAAGAATACAAAACTACTCCGATTGCACTTTAAGGCCAACTTAAAAGTTTTTTGGTTCAATAATTGACGATAGAAATGAACAATAGAACGATAGGAATGAAAATAAAAATTTCAATCTCTCCTTCCTTTTATCCCCCCACATGCTAAGTTAGATACAAACGCTGTGTTTTACGTCTCTTTTTGTATAAAAAGGACTAAATTCCTGGCCTCAATTCAACTTGGAGCGCATATTAGCTTGCCACTTACGTGTACTATAAGCACGCATTATGTCGCGCGTTAATTATCCCAAATTAGCATGTTTCAAACCATCTTAACTTGACAAAAAAGCTCAAAGGTGGAATATCATTTTAAATTTGAGCTGAAGACAATAATATCTCTCAGATGGTATGAACAAATATCCGTCAAAAATGCTTAGTTAAAAAGTCGAAAACTGACTTAATAAAAAAACCACCTTAAGCACATACATTTCACTTTTTCTTCAAAATTTGGAATAAAAATAACGCTTTATGTGAAACAATATAATTGCCTCAGCTCAACTCGGACTGATTTTTGAGCTGGATTTATTTGGCGCCTACACTACACGTCAAAGCAAATTTTTAATTATTGCGCTCTATTTATCTCAAAACCTAACAAAAAAGGGTCACAGGTGAATTATATATGCTCAAAGGTTGATTTTTCGAAAACCTATCATCAATATATTTAAAATGAATTAAATATTTTTTCCTGCCTGGAGTTAAAACTCGCCATAAATGAGCGCTCTTGTTTTTTACTCTTCTCATAAGCCTTTTAAATGTTTTTTTAAACAAGAAAAACTATTAGCCCTTCTGACGATTTTTGACAAAAAAGGAAAGAGAATTTTCTGCTTCTCTCTCTCTCTCTCTTTCTCCATCTCTCGCTCTCTCTATCTCCCTCTCTCTCTTCTCTCTCTCTCTCTCTCTCTCTTTCTCTTTATCTTTCTCTCTTTCTCTCTCTCTCTCTCTCTCCATCTCCATCTCTCTCTCTCTCTCTCTCTCTCTCTAATTCTCCCTCTCTCTCTCTCTCTCTCTCTCTCTCTCTCTCTCTAATTCTCTCTCTCTCTCTCTCTCTCTCTCTCTCTCTCTCTCTTTCTCACTCTCACTCTCTCTCTCTCTCTCTCTCTCTCTCTTCTCTCTTTCTCTCTCTCTCTCTCTTTCTCTTTTTCTTTTTTCTTTCTCTTTCTCTTTCTCTCTCTCTCTCTCTCTCTCTCTTTCTTCCATGTACAATCCCAACAGAAGAAAATTGCATCCGCGTGATACATAGTAATCTTTTCAAAAACAGGCACCATGATTTATTTGGATAACAAAAGGTTAGCATCAGGGTTCCGAGATAGATCCCAGCTCAGGAAGCGTGTAATCTCTAAGCTTTGGTCCGTCTTGAGTGTTAGAATTGGACTCGTAAGATCAAAATTTGTTGCAACATTTCATTCATTATGAGCAATCATAGGATGTATAGTTTATGGTGGTCTCGAATTTGTTGTGGTGAAAAAAGTAACCAACTTCGTTGCTTATTGAGTTTTATCATATATTCATGCTCTTGGATTTACTCATTTAGCCTGGGAGCCAATGTTATGAAACATTTTGAATGATGAAACTTTGATAAATTCATTTAGTCGACAGATTTCCTCTGGCATCATTGCCTGTTTAACTCGGACATGGTAATCAAAGTATCAAGTTGCAAAACTTTTTTTTTTAGATCTTTGATTGATCGAACTTCTGTAACCTGCCAATTAAAACTGAAGCTCAAGCGAATTAATATACAAACAATACTGATAAAGGGAGTTTGGTACGATTTCATGAAATTAGCTGATATTTTACAGACCCGTAGAGAGATAAAAAGAAGGTCAGACATTCGTTATCAAACAAACATTAAATTAGGAAACTGGAAATACATGTTCTTTTCACGTTATTGACGTTTTCTCTGCAACGAGCGAATTTTTAAGATCGAAATTTTGACATATACCAGATGACATAGACTCTTGGTTCGAAGGCGTAAAAATGCCAGTACATCACAGATAATTTCAGATATGTTCTTGCTGTGGAACTTGCATACAACAAGTAAATTGAAATTGTGAGCTCAAATTGGTTCTTGAGCAAGCTAACTATTCCACTTACTAAGCTTTGAGCATCCTGTGCATGCAGTGTTTTTTCAAATGTTTGCTGCAGTAGTTCTTTTATCAGCTTATTTCGATCATCTTCGCAATAGTTTTTTATACAAATTCAGGACTCATTTGACGCCAGACTAAGTAACCGGATCAAGTGGAATCGAGTTCTGCTTTGACTCACACGTGTTTGAACAGAAAATCATTGAAAAAGATGTAGGCATAGAACTTTTAGATAATCTAAATTGGGATTTACATGTAAATACAAGGTGTAACAAGGCGTATGCCTCATTCCACATGGTGAGACGTAACATATCGCTACATACCAACCATTATACCAAACTGCACTTACTTCGAGGACTTTCGATACTAATCTTATTATATGCATTGTAGGTGTGGTATCCGAGTATTGGTGCACTTCGTTTTATTGAGCTATTTCAAAAACGCGTTACAACATGGATACGCCCAAACACCGAGTACAAAGACCGTCTCATGCATCTCAGAAAACTTCCTTTATCGTTCTACAGAGAAATGCATAATGTTTTGTTCAGGAAAATCATTCAAAGAAAGTTAAGCGTTCCTTGGAGAGAATATGTTGGCACCAACGAAAAACTCAAACAAACCAGAGCAACATTTGAACAAAAAGAACCGTTCGTACTTCAAAAAGTTCGACTGTCATCCAGCAAACAAAGTTTTTGGGACCGGGTTATTTTCCTACATAAACTAATTGACAGCCAAAAAAAATTTTTTTAAGAAAGCGCTATGAAAGAATTATAAGACTTTTACTGGAACTACTTTATATCTTGTTACGACTACTACAACATACTGACTTGGACCTTATTGGATATAAAACAAAACAGACTAGAAAACTCGAACTTCCGAGGGCCTTATAAGCCCTTTCATTTATTGATTTCTCGGAGAAACCCATTATTATTATCACCATCATCATTATTATGATGACTATTATCATTATGATTATTAGTATGATTATTATGATGATTATTTATATGACTATAACTAATTTAATTCCTTCATGTTTTTTTTCCATGACATAAAGAGTATGCATAGATCAAAATATCGAACTTGAGCTCCTAACTTAATTTTTTTTGTATTGGTTGTGAGGATTTTACTACAGCAAAATCACCCTTGAAATTGACTAATGGCTATTAAACGCCTCTGAAACAACAGTTCTAATTTTTTGATTAGCTTAGTTTTTTCCCAACGGTTTCAACAAGAATGATTCAAAATTTCAGCCCAATATCTTAAACATTACCGATAAGTTGCAGAGAAAACAAACGTTAAAAATGATTCGTTTTCTCATTGAAGTCAAAAAGATGCAACTTTTATGTCGTATAATGTACCATTAATAAGCGCCAGATATCATTAACCAGGCCATTTAGTAGACTTACAAAGGTTGGAACATTTTTTCAGTCGTTATTTGCTATTTCCACATTTGCAAATTATAGTACTTTTCTTGTTTCTCTGTGACTTTTTATCAAGCTGGTTTGATTTGAGCTGGGTTCTTATGCGTGAGTTCACCAGCATGCTTTATTGCTAAAGCCCATGGAAATCTTACCTTGCCTGATACGCTGGTGAAAATCATACCTCGACATTTGACTTTCCTTCCCGTCTACTTTTCTCACAATTCCATGATAACTCGAGTAAAAATGTTTTTTGATAGAACATGTTTGAAATCAAATGCTCATCTCATGTAAATGCTAATACTTGAACGTTCCGACTGCCTTTTATCCGCTACGAAGTTTTATATTCAAATCATGGATAAAGTTTTCAAAAAAAAGAACTATTTTACTTTTTGAATCTGTAAGCTAGAGCATTTTGTAATGTTATAATAGGACAGTTTCGCTTCGATTCTACTTGTAACGCTCTCTGTGACAGATCAAAATTTTGTTTTTAGTCAATAACTCTGCTGGAAGAAAATGCAGCGTTGAAATTAGTTTCATTGCGAGAAAAAAGTCTGCAAAAAATTCCAAGGAGTTCATTTAAGGGTTATGTTAATCAAAAACACTTGAGAACTCAATCATGAATGAAAAAGTTGATTGAACTGATCTCAGAAAAAAAGCAATGATGTTAGTTTTGACAAGACAGATATTGATGTTGCAGATAATGCGCCCTGTACAGCATCTTTTTTTGTCGTAAGCATTGTAGAATAATTCCCAAAAACAGGGGGAGCAGTCGAGGTTTAAAGCCTCTGAGATTCATTTCTGGATAGGCGCACAATTCTGTGTCTGAATGTTCCTGCATTCCCGAGACAAAAGTTTCCAAATGGTAAACGGATTTCACTTACAAAATTTCCGTGGAATCCACGTATAAATACCTGTATCATTAATTTTGTTGGCACATTCGTTTTATTGGGGATTACGCAACATGCAAATTTGGCTAGTTATTCTAGGTTCCGCAACTGAGAGAAAATTCCTCGAAATTTAACTGAAATCTACAGATGTAAATTGAATCCGCAAAATTTGTATGCAGAATCCGCAAATGTTAGCGGATTCCGCAAATTGTAGGAAGATCCGCAGTTTTGATAATAACTGAAATTGCCAGAAAAAAAACGAACTTGAGCTGGAAACTCTGATCAAGATCTTGAAGTTCATTTTCCTCATGAGCACAATCCGATGCCATATAAATGCTTACCAAGGTTTACATATCTACCTTGGTAAGCATTTATGTGGCATCGGATTGTGCTCATGAGGTTTAAAGTCATGATCAACCACCAGGTAATTGATCAACCATCGAGGACAACTGCCGCGATTTATTCCGAAATAATATGGCCGAGTCCGTCCGAGATTATTTTATGACTTGAATAAACTACTTGAACTAATTACTCTTTGTTGTTATCGCTGTTTGTTTTTATTTGTGCTTTTTATTTCAGCCGTATTCTAGTTTGCTGTATTCTTTTTAATGTATGCAGTATGTGTTATAGTTTTATAATTATGCCATCCCATCAAAACTGTTCTGATTGTTATAATTATGTTTAAAGTAAGT